GGGCAAATCGTTTTCCCCTAGAAAACTTGTGGGGGTGCCGAAAAGCTAAACACAATGGGCACTTTCGTCTTTCTTGACAACATTTCAGGTGTGTGTATGTGTAGAGGAATCGAACACGTGACACCGTGGTCAATAGTTTCAGCCTCCAACCCTCCAGACTACGCGACCACCGACCAGCCGGTGGATCTTATTTGAGGTGTGATTAGCTGTTAATTTATAATCATTAAATTATTTGAATGATTCGAAGTCTAGTTAGATTGAGCATTGTACCAGCTGGGGGACTCCTTTAGTGTCTTTAGATAACCCCCAATTAGTTCGTCGAAATAGAAACACACAAAATCCTCTCTTGCTCAAGTTCATTCAGCCTTGACAGCTGTGCGTGATGGGTTATTGGACCGTTTACAATGCAACACACCGTAGTGGGATAAAACATGGCTCCACTTCTACACGATCCGTTCAGACCATTCTGAAATGAGGGTTTTGCTTCTGTCGTGGTATTCCCTGTGACCCAAACGCGCACTTGCAAGGTTTCAGTGCTTGATTAAGCTACTGTCGAGATTGTCGTTTATTTTATCAGTACCTCATTGTCGCACTTTATAGATCGATGAGTTGCTGTGATATTCAGGGTCTGATTACTCTTGTACCAATCCGCCTAACGTGCGGTATTATTGCTCATGTATTCCTAGCCTTGAGTTAAGCTCATACTTTCTGAACTGTTTACTGTGTGGACTACCTGCATTTAAAATTAGAGCACAACAAGAACAGGATGATGTCTGAATTTGTTGGTTTCCGGATCAATTCACTGAGGTCTAATCTGGGCATCACGTATTATCCATATGACCCCCAGTCGTGCTTAGCTCGCTGTTTTGAAGTAAATTATATATTCAGTTAGATCACCCTGATCCATTGCTTTTTCACAGTGAATCACCACTGACCTAGAAACTGTCCAGCGTACAGCTTCACAGTGACCTGAACCATCTGAGTTTAGTTGGTCATGTTTTGGTCAAATCTTCGCCTGTCTTATGAACCGACTGTGGTGGTATAGGATCGCAGTTTTGAAGCTGCCTGTGGTACAAACAACGACACCAGTATGCGGTATCTTATTTTATGCGGTTTAAACGCGGATTCTTGTGGATGTGTGCATGTGACCAGCTGAGCCTTCATAGGCGCCTGTACATGGTCATTGTAATGATGGTAATGCCTCAGCTCAGTTCTCAGTCTAGACCTTCCAAGCTAACGTTTTCAGTAAAAGAACCACACGTCATTCGTAAAACACCCAAAACCAGGTCAAAATCACAACATACATGGCTTTGTATTTCAAATGTATGAGTAGACAAATTTCTGGACGCGGTATTAGCAGCCGGCTTTCGACGGTTACTGCATCATGATTGTCTATTGGGTTCACACCTTTAGCCAATCAGAGCTCGCTTTGATACTGGATAGGCAAGTAATCCGATCTTCTGGCCAGTCGCCTCTTGACTGTAGCAGCGCCCAACTGGGAGCGGTAAAACGATTTGGATGCGGGATTCCGCCTAATTGTCAGAGACGTAGATTTACAATGCGTTTCGTGTCTATAATCACCTAAGGATCTGGAGTTTCTAAAGGCACGGTCACAAGTATCCAGTTTTGTTAGGTGTCTATACGCTACCTGCTTCAGGTAGCAAAACTGTCTGGAGCATAAGAACGCTTTCGCAGTTGGTGGATTGCGCTTCTCGGAAGTCCTCGTCCTCCATTGGCAATACGAAAGTGAGCCCGGACCAAACGAATAAGGATGATTTCCTTGGCTACACTTCAGAAGGTGTAGTGTGGGCATTCTCTATCTGACCAGTTAGAAACATCAATGGTTCGGTTGTATCTTGCTCCAGTTCTTATTGGAAGTTGACTCTCAACGTGGCTGCCCGGCGAATTTATGGAACGTAGTGATCTACATGTCCACTGTACAATTAGCTGCCGTCACCTCTTGACAAGGCTCGTTGCTTTCGTTTTTGGTGCCGTGGGGATATTTTACACACCATCTACTATTTCTTTGTGGGTAAGGCTCGAAGCTACTGACCGGGAGCTATATGGTTCCAACTCCGTCATCTCGACTGCCCCTGTCGAGGCTTGGGCAACCTAGCAGAATATTCTTCCTTTGAGTTACACGGTAACTATACACCGAAAAGGTGCCACAACTGATTAGAGGAATTCCTTATGACCGATTGCCCGTCTCCACAAGTATCTGTGCCTGCGTTGGAAAGTGCGTCTCATTCGCACGGATTAGCGGCAAATCTAGATTTCGCTGACTACTTTTTCTTTCAGATTTGCTGTGATCTAAAATGCGTACAGGCCTTGACCTATTCATGTAAGCCTTAAATTTTTTCACCGTACAATGTTCTCGTCACATTCAGAACTTGGGGCTGGTAGATGTAATTTGCTGCTTCTCCTGCTGTTCAGTTGAAGGGCGTACGTTCTTGTGGTTTTAGTTCAGGTCCAAATCTGTCAAGGTGGGTGCCATTAAACCGTCGGGTAGGTCACGAGCCTGGGTTTATTGAGGTGATGAAGTGATTGGATGACCGTAGCATGCACAATGCCCTTCAACCTGACCAGATCTTTTCACCCATTGCTGTCCACTACAGCAGAATAAAAAATACCGAAACAGTTTATCGGATTCGCGACAACTGGCGGTGGTGGAAAAATGAATGTTTCTGGGAGAGAATCCTTCACATGCGTTACCGCAAACGTGGTTCAGAGGAGCAGATTTTAGTAATCCCTCATTGTGAAGATATCATTCGGTGCTAAATTATTTGCTGTTAGCCGAATTGTTTATCCGGTTACCTCTTATGTCGCTGTGTTCATTGGACCTGACGATGTGTGTGACATTTCGTTATATATGAAGAAGTATCTCACTTTGACCGATTTTCTCCTGGAGAAGGTTAAGTCGGCTCCAAGTATACTCAGAACCACTGCTACGTATGAAGCACCATCCTTGATAAAGTCCAATCACAGGGCTAGAGAATTTCCACTGTTGTTCGACGCCTTAAACCGTTTGGGTCTCAGTAGTTTAACGTCATTCCAAGGATATGGAAAGCCTAGTTTTTAATCGTCCCCTGGCGCGACACCCACAACAGGCAGAGCTATGAAAATTGAGAATCTGGTTTATAGTCACTAACTAGGCCTGTTTTCCATTGTCTCACCATACCAACTGCAACAGATCCACACAGTAATGTGCTCCTTGTCCTCTTGGGTGTACTGCCCTCCCGGGAAGGATCTTCGGCCGAATATGGGAAACTCCATTGTGATTTTACAGAAAATTTACTGTTGCTTGTGCAGAATACTTTATGGCTTTTACCATGCTTTCTCTGACAATCTGTGCCAAACTAGGTTACTTATTTGGTACTAGTGACCTTGGACCCTAGATAATTTGATACTCTATTTCTGAACAAGACAATTGCAGGCTTGATAGAGCAAAGTTGGGTAGGATACATTCACTGTGATGTGGTCGAAATCCCTTACACAGAACATAGAAAGCTATCGTTCCATGACGTCATCCACATGCTTTTCCGCTTTACTTAGTGGATCGAGGGGTCGTGGGTCTTCAGTTTGTAGACCACCCGAAGTGATCATAACTAATTCGTTTCCAAGAGAATCTTGCAGCAGCCTGTACAAATATCGATGATTTCCTCCAATCGCCAAGTTTGTATACCGATAAATTAAAATCAGCCAGAAACAACTGAATGGTTTTCAGTGACCCTACGAGAAGTGTGCTCTACCGGGAAAAAACGACTTATCGAGTTCCTAATGCGTCAAAAACACGTATTCATTAAAATCCAATATTTAGTGGAGTCAACAGCTTTCTTTCTAAATTTCGCAACAGACCCCGATTGTTCTCTATCTAGAATATCAATCTCTTTCCGAGTAATCGCCAGTCTGATGTTTATAAAGCGGTTTGTTCGCTGGCCACATTGATCAGTTACACGAGTATTTATCTTTATGTACAGTAGTTCCCCCAGTCTAGAGAAAGCTATAAAAGTTTGTGGCAAAGCTATTGCGTCTGGCCTCTTTTCGGACGAATCACACACTGAATCATGCATGATAACAAATACCCTCAGTGTGTCGAAATAGTGGTGGCTCGGGTGCGTTTACCGGTGGTTTTGTCAGATGGTTCTTGATCTGTTATATCCGAAAAACCAATGGTATGAGACATACGCTTGAGCAGTCCACCTGTTTTCTGGATGGTCAACACGAAGAAGTACACTAGGCTCGAGTTTCGCCCCTACTAGAACTCATCAGCAGTGAATATCCTCGGCCGTACCGGGCTGGATTCTCGACATGTGAGGCTCGAATAATTGTGCCAAGACACGGGAAGTGCCGGTTTAGGGAAGTTGACGAGAAGGATTAGTAAGGAACGGAAATTTAGGCCAGTATATCCTTCAGGTGATACTCAAGCGAGGCTGATCACCAGGGACACTTGCTGTATCACTGGTTGTGTGGTAAACGGTTTCTGGTGCAAATCAATTACTGCTTTCTTTCTACTGAAATTTCTCCTGTGCTATGGGATTGTATGGTCAGCATTATCAGTACCACAGCTAAGACCGACGTGGAACCACTTGGAGTGATCTACGCAGGGTAGAGAATGGATAACTTTGTGCTACACCTAGGCGACAGCGATCCGGGATATCTTGCAGCCGGGCCATCCTTCTCTGGGAGAAAATCGCCGTGAAGTAAGGTAGAAAGTAGTCATCCGATAGGTCATGACTCCTAGAACAAGGTTTTTATATTTCTTCAGCGCCATCGCGTGCCTGCCTGACAACCCTCTTGTTGAGGTTAAGGTGTGTGCTCCAAACTACCAAGGTTCCTACATTGTTGATTGCAACATCAAAGTCCTGTGGATTTGCGAAATTCGCCATGCACTGAAAAGACTGCCTTCTATAGAAGGCTTTCCACAAGTTTGAGCTTTTCGCGAAAAAAAGAGATCAGTGCATCCTTACATTGCTTTGATTTCACTTTGCTTGTCTTTTCAGAATCTCCACGGCCCCCAGAATCCATTGTGAATGTTCAGTTAATCTTGGGCCAGCAAGGTTATCAGGCCTTACAACCAAAGTTCGAACAGGCACTAGCACATCACTGCTCGGAAAAAAGTACCCACCGAACAGACTCTTCACCGACCACTCCGAAAAAGCAATGGACGGCCAAATCTTGGTTGTACAACATCCTACTTCCCAAACTAAATGACATCCTCAGCCGAATACCGCGGCAACCGAACAAGGTGACAGGATCCGTGTACAATCATACAGATTTGTTGGAAACGTTTGTCAGTGTAAGTCTTACTTTATTTGGGGTTTCTTGGCTGGACCGAGCAATTTCGTGTCTTTGGTCCACTTGTGTCTCAATATGGGATCGGTCGTTTTCGGGAAAGTTATGCTCTCCCTGAAGAGGGTCCACTACGGAAATGCACCCATTTTGGCCTCTCCTGAGGAATCTTCAGTGGACAACTCGTCTTTGACCCAACTTCAGTGAACCGGGTTGCTGAAAGGCTATGGGACCTTACAGATTCTCTGACTGAATCTCATTGCCAGTATAGTTCAACTGAAATTGATTTTCGGCTCTCACCTGAACTTGTTGTTATCGCTTTGAAGCTAACTTCATCGCTTCTTTGTGATGGGCTGTTTCACTTAAATCTTGTCAGCTTACATCTCATTTTTTTCCAAAACGAACGCAACAGAGTTACCTGTATATGGATTCCGTGATTGAAGGATGATCGACCCCATATCCTAGCTAATTGCGTGCTGATCACACTGTTTATCAGTCACTTGTGGTTTCTCGGCCGGAAGGCTGCGGGTTCGACAGATTCGCACTGCTGATATTTCCCAACAAGGATAAAGCAGCTTTACAGCTCTTCTAGGCTTTTCAGCATAGATTGGTGCGAATTGCAGGACGAATTCTCTATCAGAATTCCCAGATCTCCTTACACTTACTAGGCTGACTAGATTCCAAACATTGGAAGTTGTGTACGAACCGTTTTGTTTTCCATGACCCACATGATGTGAATTCAACCCTGATATAAACGAATTTCCCATGAATTTTCATTAGGACTGAGAAATCCGTAACCTCTCCTGGATGCTAAAGTAACTGCCCGGGTAACAAAGCCATGGATAAGGGTGGCCGTCTCGGAGCGATTGGACCTTACTGTAGTGTGAAGGTTTGTGTGCCTCCGCGAGCCATTGAACTATACTGGGGAGGTGGGGATGTCCGTGCAACACTCATAGAGTCTCATATCAGGTTGGTCGGTGATCAGAGATCTGACTAATACAGTTTCTTGGCCCCTTAGTTTTGGGCTTGAACATGTGTGGCGACTGGTTCTTCAAAATGGTAATGCACTTGCATTTCCCGCCAAACACCGCTGCCTTGTGGTCAGGCTTTTGAACCAAAGGCTTTGTTCAAGGACCCTAATCGTACTCCTCTCCTAGTGTGGACGCCCTGACAGTATCCCAGCCCATATGCAACCATGACACTTACAAATAACAATACTCTCATACCACCGGCTGTTATGCCATGTTATGCTATTGATGATGATGAAGGGTGGTTCCTCTATCGACTTGAAATCCTATGCTTGCCCCGGACTCCTTGAGTTGTTTGTTTTTGTTTTTTGTTGTTTCAAGTTTGAAGTAAGGATTGTAGTTGCGCGTGGGGTGACCGAAAAGACGCCCGTGAATTGGACGAGAACTGCCAACCTCCCGCTTACCGGAAGGATTTTCTTTTAAATTAGCTACCGAGGGCGCTTGCAACTTTTGGGTGTTTCACACTGAAGCCCTTCCGGATTTGGGCAGTACCAGCGGCTAGATCATTGGGAGTTGCTCACCTAACTTTCTGTTGACACTGACTGTCATCATCCTTTAGGCGCAGTTATGACAGAAAGCAAGTGTCCTCGGTATTCCAGTTCGTAGGCTATCTGTCTGATAAGCAGGAAGTGCATCGTTCAGTGTCAACTCACATTCAACTTGAGATAGCTCAGTGGTCAAGGCGCAAACTTACTGACCGTAATGTTCGTGGTCAAGCCAAACCCCGGCCTACTGACCACTGCTGTCTAGGCGGATGAAACCTGGTGGTATCCTAATACTCTTGATTCCTTCGGGTGACATGGCAGCTACGCACTGAATGCGTGTCACACTTTACCAAGCGCGAAATACTGTCATTATTTAGGTCGCATCTTATTCTCCGCACCTGTGCATCAGAGGAAAGTCGAATTTTTCATTCAGCTATTTCCTTTAACTTCCAGTGCCTCCCCTTACATGTCCCTTCTAAGCACTTCAACAGCATAAACGAAGGGAACTAAATGTTTCTTGCCCTAACATAGTATGTTGACCTTTGTAGGAAGAGTCCCATTCGGGAGCATTGAAGTGAGAGAAAATCCTTAGCCCAAAAGATATGAATTTCACAAGGAGCTAGGCATGCATCTGTTCGTCTATCTGTTCTGTGTCCTGGAATTTCACAATAATATCATACCTACTCACTGATTATGAGAGACCTTCCTCATGGGGGCCCTTCTTCAAAAACACGACTTCGTTTCGAACTCAGAATGTTTGGTTTCAAAAGATGTGTGCAATTTCAGCTGTCTCTAAATCAAATTAGGAAAGTTATCGCTGAAAATTAACGCCGTTCATGACAGACCGTAAATCAGAGGGTTTATTGAGAGGTACACCTGTGATTCCAAACTTGATAGGCACATTGTTGTCTTACATGAACCCCATACTTTACATGATCGCGTTCATTGAATAGAAACCATTTATCTCCCACGGAGACAGGCTGACTATCAGTGTTGCTGGCGGTTTTCTGTCGACTGCGCCTTCAAATCATTAGAGAGATTGGTTTGATTGTCTTGCATCCAAGCCGAATAATATTGCTGCTTCTGAAGCTTGGTTTTTGTCTCGTGGCATGTTGGAGTTGTCCCTCTGCTATCTGTGGGATATGGTCCACTCCGAATGTGTCCCACTCCTCTCCCTAAACAAGACTGTAAATCTATCACTGATGACATCCAAGATCCTTTCATCAAAAAGTCTTTGACTGGTGTTACGACCGTGGTTGGTACCGCACATTAATGATAACTGCGTCTTGGTGAAACATACTTGACGCATCTGTCACCTGTCCACGATGTAGATGGAATCGTTTAATTTACCCACATGAGCATTCCAGTCGACTGACGGTAAATTTCACCAAGATATCCGGTTGACCACACCCTCTAGGCCGTCCAAAAAATCCTGTAGTCGGCGAAATCCGTCCGAAATGTGGGTGCATAGACAGCAATCATAGTTCATTCATGTTTGGTACCTTTCAATCGAGCTACCGCAATTCCGGGCAAGACTGAGCTGTACCACATGAATGTAATGGAGCACGGTTGTTCAAGACAAAGGTGACATCAAAAAATGTCTACACTGCTGTAATGAGACCAACGCTAAGCTCATCGCTGTGACGGGGATTTCATGTGGTGCCTGAGCGGTAGTCTGGTCTCCGGCTAGAATATACTATGTAACCATTTAATCCTAACAGCTAGACTCACAACTCGTCAATCTACCATTTGGGGTTTCACTTTCCTATTGGCCTACAGCACCACTACGGTGAACATTTCGCTCACCCATGGGGTACACCTGCTCAATCGAATAGTGACCTCACTGTGTGCCTTGCCGTGTGCCGTTTCCTGGTCACTTTTGGCGCGGACCTGGGAATGGATGGTATCCAAAAATTGCTGGCTGTTCCCTTGCAGAATGCACTGATGAATCGATCGGAACTGGGTAGTGAGTGTCGGTTTGTTCTCACTCTTCTGTATTATCGCGCTTCTCTCTAATGGAGATTTCCGAGTTCTGTTGATTTCTTCACTACGTCTTTGGTGTGGGGAAAAGTTTTTTACTGGATTTTATGAATACTTCGTCCTCCCGTCTGCTTCCGAAATGAATTTTTCGCTGGAACTTCGTGGAAAATCTGTCCATCTGTAGTTGTGGACTATTTGAACAGGGATAATAGCCGTAGCGCTATGCCAAAATAGTAAGGGGTTCGGACCGCCTACCCATCGTTGGATGACACGCGGTTCCGTTTCACAGCTTGAGATAGCACAGTGTACGTAGCGCCAACATACGAACCGAAGGGCTCATGGTTCGAACTCTGCTTCATAGATCACTTGGTGTGGTACATGAGGGTTTTGTTTTAAATAAGCAGAGGACAGCTGGAGTAGTGAACAACAATCGGAACTATTGTTTTCAACTGAAGCTGGCGCGGACTTTGAATAAGTCAATTAACTTTCCTCCTATTGTATTCCACTCATTGTGTAACGGCTCTGGTGCTTACAAATTAGGTGTCAGCGTTCTTAGCATTGTCGCAGCCTCAATTCAAGCGCCGTTTACCTTCTATCCTGACGTCTTTGTTCCTAATCGATCAGTCACTCAGACTACCTTTCATGACCGTCAAGTGTCATTTCTGTGACCTCACCATATCAAAATCACTTCTGTCCTGGTGCCCGCAGCAAAATACTCCTATATTAATAAGAAAGGCCAGTCATGTTCATTAGTAGCGTCACTGTGAATGCCTACTGGTAGAGTAAGAGTTCAACTTCTTGTAAGCTAATCGGTCTTGACTCGAACTCATCACTTGCCATGAGGTTTATCCTCTCATTCCGTCCATTAACTGACAAGCGCTTGGGAGAGTCCACCCATCAGCTTGTCGGAAAATTTGCAATCTCCCTCTGTATTTCAAATTTCCACGTGATTGTGCTGATGGCGTAGTCGCTGCTGTGGCCATGCTCCCATTTGTCTGATTTAATTATTTCGTACTACTGTTTGTTTGTCAGTAGCAGATTCTGTAAGTGTCTGCGTCCACTGAGTGCGGTGTTATGAGGCTGGCGCTCGCTTTTTACTGGCTGATAAATCGATTGAGTTCCCGCTCAAATTTTTTCCAATCCTCTTTTCAGATTTTGAATATGACCAGCAAGCCCTTCAAACTGGACTTTTGGCCGGGTACTGCTGTCTATTGTCTTCTGTCAAAGCGGTAGGTTCAATCCTGATGAAAAGGTTGTGCTCGCGATGTAGTGACTGATGCGATTGATCTGAGCCGGACTACTTCAGTCCGAAAGAAATTGGCCTTAGACAATATAGGCCGTCTAGACAGTAGTAGGTTAATTTATCTGCCCGCTCTCCAAATACTAGTTGTATGGCCATTTAGTGTGAACAGTTCTTTCAAGTAATCGTCTTTTGATCTCTGTCTGTGGTGCTTAGGAGGAAGTCACAAGCGCATGCCTCATTTTCGCTCCTCAGACACGAATAGCAATTGACGAGTAAACACGCGAGTTGATGGATAAACACATGGTGGAGTGCGGACGCACATATCCGGATTCTACTATGCGGCGTTGATTGGGCAAAATGCACACGCAGACAACGTTTGCGTCACACGGTCCAGTTAAAGACAAAATTTATACAGTAGCACATTCAGTTGAAGAATATTGTAAACCATAGATTCAGTTAAGTCAGTTGAAAACCAAATTGATATGTAAATGAATATTTGTCGGAACGCTAACACCTCTTTAATCCGTCACAATACACGAGCTTCGTGGAACTAGGTGGGGTTGCTGCAATTTACAGTTATACGCTTTTCTTTCCACTGCTGAAAACCCACAAAAAATTGCACTACTACCATTAAATGCTCCTAATGTGGAATTGCTTGTTGTACTTCAGATTTCATCTTATTGACAGTACTCTACAGGATAACCGTTTTGCGGAGCTACAAGCTCATTTACAGACCAAGATCCCGGTAACGTGAGATTCGAATTAATCCCTCCCATGTGATATTCTTCAAGTCTCTCAATTTGTAACTGACTGCACAGCTTAACTTATTTGGGGCCACTCTTATCTGATTAGCTAAAAAAAAGAGTGTGACTGGCGGTTGACTGCCGTATCGTTTTCATCAACCCCGTTAAGTGTATCGTACTACGGCGAACCGTTCTAGTTTGCTAGAATCATTTCCTTCAAAAGGTGACTTCATGTTGATGCGTTACGTTCTGAGTGAGATTACTGTAAATCAACAAGTGCTTAAAATACACAACTTCTTGATTAGCAGGCACCTTGCATTGGAAAGCAATGGCAATCTGATTGGTGCGTGTAGCTACTACATAAATATACCGGAATTTTCCTTCGATATTCTCCTCAACGGTGAATGTCCCTCTACTGGCTTTTTGGCCAAATTCCCAATAAATTCACTTCGAGGATTCCTGTAGCAACAGGGGAAAAAAGCTATCTTCGATTCACTGGTCACACGTTCCTCCTATTGAAATCATACAAATAACATAATTGATTTATTGGGATACATTCGTTAGAAAACAAATGTATTTATTTACTCTAGAGCAGCCGTTCTTCAGCAGTCTCATCAGCGATCACTGTACCCGCCGACTTTTACTGTAGTCCACTAGCATTTGCCTGGTGTTTTCACCACCAATCAGGTTTGTTAGCTCCTGTTCCGTATTTGTTCTGGGACAGCACTCTCCGGACCTTGAATGAGATGCTTTTATAGAATCTTGTTCTTCACTATATATTTTCCACAGCCTTTTTTTACAATGCCGTTTAGTTACTTGCTTATCAAATGAATTTTTCAAAGTGCTTTTTTTATTCTGTTTTTAGAAAACCCTGACGCACAAAGTTCGCATGCTTATCACGAATGCCATATTTTTACACACTCGGGAATTTTACCCACTGGATCCCATTCGCCTAACCATATGGGCTTTATGGTGAGTCCAGGATTCCAACATGTGATATCTCCATTTGTTCCTTGGAGCTGTTTCCTTAAGGAACACCCCCATTTTCATCCAACAATGTTTCCATAGTTTTCTGTCTGTTTCGGAAGTTTTCACGTCATCACTGCTCAGACGATACTAGTGTAGGGACTACCGAGCCATTACAACGACATATCGACGTTAAGTTACTTGGATATAGTCATCATCATCATCATCATCATCATCAACAACAACAACAGCATGACATCAGTGTTCAACACCGATGCTTCACTGCCGTACAACCATGATTTATTTGAAAACCTCATTGTGAAAAAAAGAATGAGGGAAGACGGGGAAGTGACCAATTTCTAGCTTACTACAATTATTCCGAGGTGCCTACGCCTTCAGACATTCAAGCAATCCGGATAGAAGCTGACAGCAAGAACGTCATTGACGTCGGTTGACAACCATATCTTGCAGCGTCTCTAATCAGGCACAGTGGGGATCACGCGGTCCCCGTCCGTAACGAAAGCAGAAAGCTGGGTAAAGATGGGAGAAAGGTGGGAAAAATGGTAATCGAAGGATGCTTGGCTTTTGTACACATATGCCATGACAACTCTCTTGACGACGACGGATGGTATTCCTGCACTAGTGAGGTGAACTAACTCTCACGATTCAGCTTTATTCTCTACACAGCTGTTGTGCGATGGCTGGTTTTCTGCACCATTCCACCTTTAACTGCATTTGGGTTAATGGCATTGTTTTTGCCTATTGTCACTGAATTCGTTCTCACTAGGGACAGTAACTACCACCCGATCCATCGTACATTCTTTTCTGATTCTTTCCTCATACACTAACCACCAGCCAAGCGTCCCCGACCCAGCATCGACACATCAGTAACCTTTAGCCACGCTAGGACACGTTTTGCTGGGCAGTGAGATCACATAACCATGTTTTCTTTTTCGATTCTGCTGGCTTCTCTTCTACACTGACTTGATATATAACTGTTCAGTTCGACCCACACCCAGAGAGGAGATAATTTTTGAAACTCCTTATTGGTTCTCACACCAATAGCCAATCAATGAGCAAAGCAACAATCTTATTCTCCCGCAGTTCCAGTTATCATTTTAGCCGTTGAGATTAAAATGATATGCATGTTCTGAGTATTTACTCGGTTAATTCTTGGATATTCACCCAGTGGACAGCAGCCTCCTATCGAACAACGGTACCTGGTGCTACACTTTTAACTCACCAGTTTCGAACGTGTTGCTGTGACACGGTGCAATCAGCTGACTCCTACTATGTTATGAGAGTATCGCCAACTAGATGCTTGAAGTTGGCATGATAACGATTCAGCCGTAACACTCTCCTGGTTCCTAGCCATGCCACTGGAAGGTGGCACAAGGTCTGGGATACTATCAAGTTGCCCAAACCTAGATGGAGCAGTTGGGATGTCAAGGTTGGGTTCCAACCACGGTCAGTACCTTCGCCTTTTAATCACTGAGCTATCCCGAATTCTGAAGGCACGAGTTACCTTTCTTCTGCCATTGTGCTTCCTCCTAGCAAAGCGTGTATTGAAAAACCCCATCAGGGTGGCCTTGGACCGGCTTCAGTCTGAAACAAAAATCCCTTCATGAGTTGCTTTGATGTTTGAATGATCATACGGCTTTTTGGCTTGTCGACATCGACTTCCGATCGCTAAGGTACATATAAATTAGGAGTTTGATGCCGCTACTTATGATGGCGAAATTAAAACAGGTAAGAAACGAAAAATTATTTTTAACAATGCTATTCAGTCAAACGAATGTCTCCTGTATTTCTATTTGAGGCTTACGTATCAAACAAGAGATATTCAAATTTCCAAGATACAAACCCGTTTGAGAGCTGTTATGTATTTTGTTCAAAACCGTCTCTGAAGGCCTGTTGATTGCGCACTTTTTCCAAGATCCGATGCTCCTTTGTCGGGTCCTGTATATTTCCTCGAACAGAACCAACCGCTTCTCCCCAGAGGACGTCTGACAGCCCTTTTCTCCATCTAGGACTATGTCCCGAGGTTACCACAGATTGTTTATTTTAATTCCCTTGAGGATAATTAATCATTACGTTTACGATGTGAAGCATCGGTGTTGAACACTGATGTGCTGTCGATGATGATGATGATGACGATGTCATTCACGGTACTCAAACAGTTTAGCATGGATTTTTCATCCAGCCATAAACTGTATCGTGCAACTTTCGTTGATGTCCTTTCTGAAGGGTAGTCAGACAACATCTCTTAACTCTCGTTTGTGGTATTATTTTCATTATCATTTTATTTATTTATTATATTCGGGTGTTCAAGCGCCAGCTCGAATATCGTCTTCTGTTTTCAGTCTCACGGTGGATTTGGAATACGCCCTTACAGAGTTGATTCTACCGGCGTTACGACCTTGTATCGGCTGCGCGGACAGCATGGTTCGTCGAGCGGCAGCTACTTTACTACATTCAGTCATCGAAGCATTACGTTTTATCCAGCACTCCCAATCCGACTGTGTCTGTCTGTCCCAGACTGCTCCTCGGCAAGCACTGATCGACCAGCTGTGTTCAATGGTGAGCCAATTGGCCCGCGATGATATGACTGGACAACGGAAGCGGATCAATCCAGATGAGGCCGACTGGAGCGTACTGGCAGTCGCTCTTGGACCCCTTCACAGTCTACTTTCCTGGTGTCTTTATCTCAGCAATTCTCTTCCCCGAAAAACGTTTTCAAACGGGATCTACGTCGATCAGACGGCGACATCTGACAGTTCATCTTCAAGTGGCAAGGACTTGTACGAATCAGAAGAACAGGTTAGATGCTCTCTGTGCTCCGCTATCAGTACTCCTATTTTCTGTGATATATGGTGTAGGTCAGGACCTGTTCAACTGGGAGAACTCCACGACCCATATGTTTGAACTTGTTATGAAAAGATGTTATCTCTCTGGCGCTACCCAACGATACGCCCTATCACGTTTACAGATGGTCTGTTAGATTCAGACGATTTAGGTTATCGTTCCTTACCAATCGAGTCGCATTTTCAGACTATGATAAACCTAAAATCACTAGTAGGCCTGATTGTATTCAGATCAAACGGATCGTGTTTTTAGGACCATGTTTTTCCACCGGTAAATGTGACGTACTTTTTTCTTTTTCCGTTACTGCACCAAAATATCCCTGATTGCAGTTGTTCGAATTAATCCGTATGCAGTTCAGTCTGGTTGTTGGTCTCATCGATACCAGTGCCCAACAATCAGATCCCGCCTCAGATACAGAATCGGATTACAGTTCCCAAAGGCTTCTGATCTCCCAGCAGCGGTTCTGGCTCATTCTTACTGGTGCTTTGTTGTCCCTGGCCGATCGTCTACTGCCAAGTTGTCCGAATGCTTTCCGAGACGAAGGTTAGTCGAATTTTTCTGTCAACGCATCTTAAGCCTCTCTCTGTTACAACGTTCTGTCCGACTGTCGATCGCTTCTAGTTACAGAACTGTGCTGAAACAGTTGATGAGGTTTTGGCTTTTGTTTCAATTTCTTCAGTCGTCTGCGTAACAGTAACCGTAACAAAAGGGTGCGGAACAGTCTCACACTAGTATCGAGATAGGCGAACGATCCGGGTCCGTCGCTTTTCACCTGTTTGTCTACTGTGATACTGATCTCTAACTATTCTTCACCCGCTCTAATGTTTTCATCCGTTTTCTCATTATTCAGACGACTGTTAAAGGTTACATATATGTTGGCATTTTTCACAGACTCATTTCTCCACATTTCGTCCTTGTTTGCAGCAACACGGACGCAAAGGTTTATCATGTTTTACTATGTTAATTCGGCTCTATCCAGCTGTCTAACGCAGTCAACTACCTTACCAACAGCCTTACCAGGTTGAGCACCCTTCTCGATGCTTTACTTGACTGTAATTTGCCATTAAAAGTCTTATTGTACCTGGTTACTGGTAAAGTGTAAAAATAACCACTGCATGAAAACCTTCCAAGCAAGTGTTCGACTTACTGCTGAACTGGACCTAACTGGACCTAATAACAAGCCCCGATTTCACGTGACGAATGCTCATGGAAGACAAACCGAACGCACGTGACCTTGATAAAGGAAATTTTGATGTGAAATTTTTCTGACAAGGATACCGGCTGAATTCAGGCTAACCGGAGTATGGGGATCTCCGACTCTCGCTTGGTAATCACTAGCATGTTTTTGACCCGGACAACGCCGCTACTAAATGGTCTACAATCGAGGTGAACAGCCTCACGGCTTGACAAGAGAACCCACACTGACATGGCTTTGATCGATCAGGTGAAATATTTAGTGCTCTGTTGTAGAAACGCTCCAGGACAAAGTAATAATCGTTCCCCGTAATACCGTTTCAATGTCTAGCTGTCGTACCACCCGGGGAAAGAACGAGGGCTGAAATACCGCCAGGTTGTCCAAGCCAAGATAGGAGCGGTCGATATGCCGCGTTTGGGTCCGAACCACTGACCATCCGGTCAGTAGGTCCGAGCCGTAACCAGGGCTGAAATCCAGGTTGTCCAAGCCAAGATAGGAGCGGTCGATATGCCGCGTTTGGGTCCGAACCACTGACCATCCGGTCAGTAGGTCCGAGCCGTAACCACTGAACAATCTCTCTAGATGTTGGAACAACCGAAACTAGATATGGCTACCACCAGAGACAGGAAGTTGGGATATTGGAGCAAAGCATGCTGATTCACGCCTCCCACATCCCCAGGGATTGTCTTGCGTTTCGCCGCGCTAACTGGCTGAATTCCCGTGAGGCAGACTAGCTTGGTGAATGTTTAGCTGTGTGGGCCTCTATGGATCCCAAACTGAATGGAGGTGGTCGCACGTTCGGCAAAAGTATTGGAAAGTGATTTATGCGGAATAGGTAGTAATCATCTCTCTATAATCCGGTAGTATAGTTTCGTCGTACTTGGCAGCGTATTTGTATCAGTTGATCAAAGTGAATTTCTTATAACTGGAGAGTTTGATTAACGATTGAGTTTGTCATTTTATGAAAAAGTCAACGAACCGGAGCTACCAATGGTTCGGCAAGTTACCAGCATTCACTTCCATCCACTGGGTATCGTGTATGCTGGAAAACACATGGCTGATTACATGTGTTACACATGTAAGGTCCAACTGTGAATGATCACTGTCATCGCAGTTTTGTGATCAGTTTAAAACTGTACAGCCCGCAGCACAAAATTGTCTCTCTCCATGGTGGTCTACGGCGCAACAGCGTGACGAACGGAATTACTAATAAAACGGACTGCGATTGGTTTTGACCGCAAAACACATTAGCACCTAATTCGAAAGAGGACTAGCGCAAAGGCTAATAGAATTTCGACCAAATCATGAAGCAATTTCTAACAGACCGCCACAGGCAGATACCCTCTAATGGATCATTGATGTGTTCCAAAAGAGTTAAATTCACTATCGAGTGATTCTTGATAATTCTCACTTTGTGTCTCAGTTTGTTGTCAGAGTGTTCAACGTCAATCTGTTCCCTTGTGGTAGCAGAGTTTACCGTTGCTCTAAGGGTAATTTCACCCGCCTGTCTGTTTCGGAACCAAACAACCACATTTTCCAGTTCTTTACCATTGTGTGCGCCATTTACTCGCGCCCTCATTTGAGCCATTCAGATTTCCTTATCGAATTAGACTCTCCACTCACTCTGAATTGAAATCCCGGCCTGGTAATGTGAGGAGGTTCGATAATTTTCAATCGAAATTTCGTTCTGTAGGTATGCTGAAAAAACCGAGTGACACTGCGCTGTACTCTTTCATCCTTACTGGAATTCATCAGCAGTTCGTCTCACACCATTTGTTCAAAATTACCAAATCTAACACTACAGTCAATTAATAAGTAACTCAGATGAAAAACAACTTCAAAAGGCGAGTGAACTTTCCTTGTGGGGAGCCGTCACTGGATCATCCAGTTAATATGTGGTCGTGTGATGTGGCTCCCGTGGATGGCGCCATATCCTGTTTAAGTACGAGCTGATCACCCTGCGTTTGGCCAGACGCTCGTGGCCGAGATCGCGGGTTTGAAACCCCATACTGGATTTTTGTGTGTTGCTCACCACTACTGATTCCCACTAAGGATGAAACAGCTGTACAGTGCTTCTCGGCTTTTCGGTATAGACTGGCCTACAGTTTACCGCAGTTATAATCAGCGCTAGAATAGTGCTATTTCATGTATATCATGGCTTGTAGCTCTCCACGCATGGCCAGCCAGTCGATAGCAGTCTTTCAGTGATATGCAGAGCAATCGTTTACTCCGATCGTCACACGAGATGTGACTGCCACTTCCTACGTAAACTTTCACTTTGGCTTCTGAACCGATAGGTGTTTTCGTATCTTTCGACTCAAGCCCAGTTGTCTCATTCAAGTATTTAGTTGTCTTGTTTGCACACCGAATGGCATCTCGTGTGGAGCATGCAAACAGCGTATGGCGCTACATTGTGCTAGGTAATGAAGCATTGATATGTTCTAGTAAAGAGGATCTCCGTAGTCTTGTCATTGACGTACCGTTGATGTAGTATGACGTTTAAGCCAGTGTGTTTTAGTCATTGCGGACCTAAGCTCTTTACTGGCAATAAAATGCACTTCTCTTGAAACAGAACTCTTCCATAATTCAGTTCAACTGTAGTGGTTCATCGGTGTGATTTTGCTGATAACCTTTAGATAACCTTCGGACGAGTGACTTCCATCCCATATACTGGGTTTGAGGAAATCCCACTTTTCTATCTGTCAGGCGTCGGGTAGCTGTTCATTTGGGCTTTACTGATCTCTGTTAAGTCTTCAGGATTATTGACATTCTTCACTTGGTTGAAACAGATGCGTTGACAAGTGAAATCAATATGATCCACTGGTTCAGCACTCACCCATGTCTACGTGTTTTAACGTTACACTTGCACATACATGCTTTGTCACAATTGAAAAGGTTCTTTGTTAGCAACTATGGGTATTACACACTCTGGTAAGCCTGGAATTGTTGTGTACCGACTGAGATAGGTTTCGTTCTGATTGCACGTTTGCAAAAACGCAATGAGCAGTTTATGTCACGTTAACCTTACATGATTTCTCCCCAAGGTTATCTTGAGAAATACATTTTTTTGGATACAAGTAGCAAGGTATGCGTGATCTCGAGGACAACTTACCCGTCTCTGTGTGCCACTCATTTTCACAAATATATTTACTTTCTACAATTTTCACTATGATAAACCTTCCTTGGAGCAGGCCCCAAGCTAGTCCGACTCACACACAACTCTTCAGTCGCATAGGTGGGAGGAAGAGGAAGACAACTAACATACCAATTGGCCAAAGCAATAATTACAATAAATCATTCACTGAAAGGTTGCTGAATATCCCGTAACCCTACCTTTCTTCGGTCCAGCTTCATTAAGTTTTTATCCGTTTGGGAACTGTGTAATATCCCGTAGAAGTATCCAAACCCCCCGGTGTGTTAGGATTGGGGGGACAAATCCGACTGCTATCCTTATTTGAATAGGAGGATACGCAAGTATTTCTTTGGGATCCTCTAGGCTTAATACGATTAAAGACTGGACCTTTCCGTGGTGTGACGGTTTGCGTACCTCAGCGATCCATTGAGCTATACTGGAGAGTGTCCCGCGACACTCAGTGTCTCTCACACCAGGTTGGTCAATGGTTAGAGGTCTGACGAACACAGTCTCCTGGCCCTCCAGGTTGGGGGTTGGAACATGTGGCGACTTGTTCCGTAGAAAT